GTTTGTCCATAGATAACTGAGCGAGATTCACTACTGTCTTGTTTGTCCAGCTCAGTTATCTGTTGTTAACTTATTTAGTAACAGTAAATACAAATCTGTGTGTTGGTTATTTGTCATCTGTTGTTAACTGTATTTAGTAACAGTAAATACAGAACTGTGTGTTGGTTATTTGTCATCTGTTGTTAACTGTATTTAGTAACAGTAAATACAGATCGGTGTGTTGGTTATTTGTCATCTGTTGTTAACTGTATTTAGTAACAGTAAATACAGATCGGTGTGTTGGTTATTTGCCATCTGTTGTTAACTGTATTTAGTAACAGTAAATACAGATCGATGTGTTGGTTATTTGTCATCTGTTGTTAACTGTATTTAGTAACAGTAAATACAGATCGGTGTGTTGGTTATTTGTCATCTGTTGTTAACTGTATTTAGTAACAGTAAATACAGAACTGTGTGTTGGTTATTTGTCATCTGTTGTTAACTGTATTTAGTAACAGTAAATACAGATCGGTGTGTTGGTTATTTGTCATCTATTGTTAACTGTATTTAGTAACAATAAATACAGAACTGCATGTTGGTTATTTGTCATCTGTTGTTAACTGTATTTACTAAATGTTTGTCATTGTGTAACTTTGATCTTTTTTTCCAACAGATAATGTCTATCTTTGCTTTTGCAACTACATCTGGCTTTAAGAGCCACACTTCTTTTGATATTACTTGTCTTAACTCAACAGAACCCAAGAAAGTGGATTTAAAATTTGAATATGCATTCAAGTAAGGTTTTAGTATTTCTTATAAACCTAGACAAGTTTATATATATATATACTCACAATAATGCACCTGTGTGTTATATGTGTTTATTTCATTATTAACACAAAGAAAGTTTAAGTGGAAGAATGCTAGAATTTTTTTAATTAAATAATTTAATATACCGGTCTCACTAGGCCTTGTCATAAAATATACACTGATAACATTTTAAGTTAGTAAATAATTTAATATACAGGTTTTACTAGGCCTTGTCATACAATACACTGATAACACATTAAGTTAGTAAATAATTTAATATACAGGCCTCACTAGGCCTTGTCATAAAATATACACCGATAACACATTAAGTTAGTAAATAATTTAATATACAGGTCTCACTAGGCCTTGTCATAAAATATACTGATAACACATTAAGTTACCTCATGAGATATTACTGTGATTACAGATGTTAGCCTGGGAATCATCTAAACCTCATGAAATTTTATTTGGATTACAGATATTAGCCTGGGAATCATCTAAACCTCATGAGATATTATTTGGATTACAGATATTAGCCTGGGAATCATCTAAACCTCATGAGATATTACTGTGATTACAGATGTTAGCCTTGGAATCATCTAAACCTATATCAGTAACAGCAATTGGTGAATCAGTGTATTTTATGACAAGGCCTAGTGAGACCTGTATATTAAATTATTTAGTTTAGATGATTCCTAGTCTAACATCTGTAATCCCCATAATATCTCATGAGGTTTAGATGATTCCCAGGCTAACATCTGTAATCACAGTAATATCTCATGAGGTTTAGATGATTCCTAGTCTAACATCTGTAATCCCCATAATATCTCATGAGGTTTAGATGATTCCTAGGCTAACATCTGTAATCCAAATAATATCTCATGAGGTTTAGATGATTCCCAGGCTAACATCTGTAATCCAAATAATATCTCATGAGGTTTAGATGATTCCTAG